TCAGGTTTACGCGAGCGCAGCAGTTGTGTTGACTCGCTGTGTTGAAGTCCAACAAATTGCGTTCTGGCACGGTTCTGGATCGTCAAGACGCAGCAGTCAGGTTGATACGGAGCGTTGAAATCCCGAGAATAACGTTTTGGTCAGGATCTTCAAATGGTTGCCTTCCAGCGAGGCAGTTCCCTCAATGGAAATGAACCGTTGTATGGGGCCTATGATGAGGGAGCAAGGATGGAGGGTTCATTCCAACATCTTTGATGACTCTTGGGCTTCCACTGGTCCTCCCTTCCTCCCGCCCGGGGATTATTAGGGTCGTCAGCCGAAGCGCCGGCGCCGCAAAAGCGGGACGGCCGAGTGGGAGCTGCAGGGGTGGGCGGACGAGATCCGGGCGTCGAAAGAGAACAAGCCCCCGGGGGCCCCCGAAGGACAAGATCTTAGGGACCCCCCCCAGGGCTAGAGGTCGGGACGGCGTCCAGGGGCGGCTGCAGGAGCGTAAGCGACTGGCGGGGTTGGCACTCAAAGCGGCCATAAGTGCCCCCAATAGCCCGCCAGGTTGGTAGCCTAAGGACCCTCGGGTGCCCCTTTCCCCCAGGGTTCCGCCGAAAGCCTCTCACGGGATCCATGAAACCTCAAAAGACACCGGGGACCGGCAAGCCGACCACGGGGGTGCGCGCTGCGCAGCCAACGTGCGCGTCCTGAAGAGAAACGGGGTCTCTGGCCAGTGTCAGATGGGCCCAGACTACCAGCCTTTACACTATCCGAGGCCTGCCTTCGCATCGGTTGGCGCCCCATGTTCACATCCGCCGTTCGGTCAGAAGGCAACAGACCCATTGGGGGAGTTGCCATCTTGGTCAAGCAGGCGAACGATATAAATAGGAGTGCCACCGCTCCCTGGATCCCATCCGCCTCCTCCAGAACCATTCTCCTCACGAGTCCTCTCCTTACCATCTAGGCAAATTCGAGCCCCGAGCCAAAACGCCGCCCTCATAAGGCCACCCTCTCACGAGGCATGGACGCACTCGTGGGGACGACCCCGACGTCCACGCATGACGGGGAGCGCGACAGCCACGGGGGGAGAGGGGGGGCATTGGGTTGAGCCCTCCTCGGACCAGGTTACCCGCAGGAGCGAGAAGCCAGGGCGCCTATTCGGGCACTCAGGAACGCCCATCGTCCTGGGGCTTTCAAGGCGTAGCCGAAACCTCATAGTGGGGCATCTAAATATACGTGCTCCCCGTGAACTTGCTCCACCACGGCCAGTGACACCATTTATGCGCTAGCTCCAACGCGGCCGTTGGCATTTGGTTTCGGTCATCCTACTTACGTTGTCGTCCAACTACCGATTTCTGGGGTAACGGACTCTGCCGTAAGCTGGTCAACGGAGACAAATATTTCACCGGTGGCCGCTTCATCCCTAAAAATGGGTTTCGGTACCCTTTAAGCCTGTAGCGAGATTTGTAATCCTACTCCTCTTCCTTCCTTTATCCCTGCCTCCTCCTTCTCCTTCTCCTTTTGCTGCTGCTCATTCTCTTCCGGCTGCTAATCCTCGGCCTCCTTTCCCTCCTCTTCCTCCTTTTCCCCCTCCTCCCACTGAGCGGAATGCGGCCGTTAGAAGGAAAAACACGAGGAGGATGATGATGAGGAGGAGGAGGTGTAGCCAAGCCAGAGGAGGAGGATGAGGGAGAGGAAGAGAAGGAGGAAGAGGAAGAGGAAGAGGAGGAGGAAAAAGAAGAGGGGGATTAATTACGGGAAACCTAGGAGCACAACGAAAACACAATCCTTTGTGGTGGTTCCAAGTTTTCCATAATTTGGAATAATAGGGAACCTGGAATCATCACTCAGGAGTCGTCCGACTTCGTGGTGGTTCCAAGCGTCCCATTATTCGAACTCCGAGTTCCGGGAAACCTGGGGAGAATCGCTCCTGGGGGGTCGGATTACGGGAAACCTGTAATCACCACGAACAGCTTATTTTTGCTGTGGTGATTCCACGTTTCCCATAATTCGGGAAAGCGCGAGGTTTTCATTGATTCTTCGGGGGGGTCCAGGGCCCAACAATTACAGACAATATAATTTCTGGAAACACCCCCCAAACCCCCGCTGGCAAAAAACGGAAAACAACAACCCAACTCGTGTTTTCCGTTTTTGTTCGGGGGGGGGGGGGCCACATTCAAAAACAAATCTGATTTGACCCCCCCAAGACCGACTCGAAAAAAACAACAACAACAACAAAAACAAACACCGAACTCGGCTTCTGTTTTCGAAATTCTCCGGCCTTTGACTCGAGCTCCTAAGGATTCTCTCTTGCAGCGGGATGCTGTTGAACACGGGGTGTTATGTTGGAGACGGAGGCTGTTGAGTACTTGGTGCTGTGCTGGACACGGATGCTGCTGAGTGCTGGGTTTTCGGTTGAACACGTAATCACAGCGGGCGGGCGGCGGGGAGCGGGCGGCGGGCGGGCGGCGGGCGGCGGGCTAGCGGGTCGGGATTGTACTACAACCCCTGAGGATTCTCTCTTGCAGCGGGATGCTGTTGAATATCGGGTGTTGCGTTGGAGGCGGAGGCTGTTGAGTACCGAATGATGTGTTGGAGACGGATGCTGTTGAGTATCGGGTGTTGCGAACACGGTAGCACGGCGGGCGGGCGGCGAACGGCGGGCTGGCAGCGGGCGGGCGGATCGCGATTCGAAAAGAACGCCTACGGATTCTCTCTTGCAGCGGGATGTTGTTGAGTACTGGGCGTTGTGCTGCAGACAAAGGCTGCTGAATACTGGGTGCTGTGTAAGGAGGCTGTTGAGTAGAGGGTGTTGTGCTGAAGACGGGAACGCGGCGGGCGCGCGGCGGGCGGCGGACGGCGTGCGGGCGGCGAGCGGGCGGATCAAGACTTTCGTTTACCTCCTGAGGACTCTCTCTCGCAGCGGGATGCTCGCGAAGGTTGCGTTGGAGGCGGAGGCTGTGGAGTGCGCCGTGTTGTGCTGGAGACGGACGCTGTCGAGTGCTGGGTGTTGTGTCGAGCGCGGCAGCACGGCGAACGGGCGGCGGGGGGCGGGCGGCGGTCGGGCAGTGGGCAGCGGACGGCCCGCCGGCGGCGAGCGGGCGGATCGGGATTGTGATACGACTTCCCAAGGATTCCATCCTGCAGCGGGATGCTGTTGAGTACTGAATGTTCTGTGGGAGACGGAAGCTGTTGAGTATTGGGGCTGCGTTGGAGACGGATGCTGTTGAGTACTGGGTGTTGCGTTGAAGGCGGAAGCACGGCGGGCAAGCGGCGGGGAGCGGGCGGCAGGCGGGCGGCGGGCAGGTGGGCGGCGGACGGCGGGCCGGCGGGCGGGCGGACCGGGATCATCATGCAAATCCGAAAGATTCTCTCTTGCAGCGGGATGCTGCTGAGTACAGGGTGTTGTGTTGGAGACGGAGGCTGCTGAGTACCCATCGGTCGGAAGAAGTAGGTAGAAACATGAAGTAGGAAGGCGTTGGAAATACATTGGGTTTCCGCCCGCCTCCTGAAGAGGAAGGAAGAGGAAGGAAGAGGGAAAACCACTCGACTCTTGAAGTAGGAAGGCGCTGAAAGTAGATTGGAATCTAAGAATCCAAAAATACCTACTTTCAACGACCGATGGGTACAGTGTGCTGTGTTGGCGACGGATGCTCTCGAGTCCCTGGTGCTGCGTTGAACGCGGAAGCACGGTGGGCGGGCGGCAGGCCGGCGGCGGGCGGGCGGGTCGGGATGCGAACCGTGCTCCCAAGGGTTCTCTCCTGCAGCAGGATGCTGTGGAGTACTCCAGATTTCGTAATAAAGGGAGGGGGGCCTCATTTCGGGGGGGGTCTCTTCCAGGCTATCTTGGAGGGCCTGGGGGGGTCTGGCGACGATGTTTTGGAGGGTTCTCCCACGGGGGAGGTCTGAAATGGATTGTCTTGGAGGGTCCAGACCCCCTCCCTTTTCTTACGGAATCTGGAGTACTGGGAGTTGTGTTTCAGACGGAGGCTGTTGAGCACCAGGTTTGGTGTTGGAGACGAATGCTGTTTAGTACTGGGTGTTGTGTTGAACACGGAAGCACGGGCGAGGACGCCCGGTGTGAAAAAAATGCAACGTCAGGATCAGGGTATCGGGGCAGCCTTCGTTCTGGTTGTGACTCCTGGTCGCGCGTCCCTTCGTTCTCTTCCTGCCCGCCGGTCGCGAAAGCTGCATGGCAGCGGCCCCCCCGGGGGGCCTGCCCTGACTCTCGCTCGGCGGGCCCAACGACGGTGGAAGAGGGCTGTTTCTGGTCTCCCAGACGCGCAGGCGGCTGCAAGCCGCGTGCGACGGGTTCGCGTTGTGTCGACCCCGGTGTTAATTAGCTGCTGACACTGCGGGGAAAATTCAACCTTGAACGATCGGCCGTTTCCGAAACGTCAGATCGTTCAACATCGACCGATCCTGGGTTTTCCCGAGCCGCCGCACATGGTACGTAGCAGGCGGAGCCGGCCACGCAGGCAGGTAGGGCGGAGCCGCCTTTAGCCAGGGCGGCAGCGGACGAACAACGCATTACATCCTCCTCGCATTCCCTCAAAAAAATGTCGCTGCTGCTGCCGCTGCTGCTGCTGATCCTGGGTCGCCGGCGGCGTTCAACGTTGAATGCTGGTGGCGGGGTCGCCGCTGGTCGACACGACGCGAACCTGACGTAAAGCGAACGGCGGCGGTTGCACCACCCTATCTACAGCCGAGGCTACGACGAAGACCACATTTGCACCACGCTTGCCACGGAAGCCTGAGCCAGCTTCCTGGTGAAATCCTGGGCAGGTGCTGGGAAAACCTTACGAGAGCAGCAGCCTTGTGCACGGGCAGAGGTCTGAGGAGCTGGGCCAGCCTCCCGGAGGCTGAAGAAGCGGTGGGCCAGGACGAAGGGTGGGATCTCCGAGCGATCACCGCATCCGCAGACGGCCTTCCAGCGCGAGCCCCTGGCCGCTCGCTGGCTCTTCGAGCCCCTCCTCCCCCTCCTGCCCTGCAGCCCCTCAGCACGGCGCCCTGGCTCATACCACCAGCTCGGCGCTGCCGGCCCCTGCGGCCGCCGTGCACTTGATCTCAACCCTTCCCGAGAAGAGGCCTCCGACCTGCACCGCGGCCCTCGCTGGGGGCGCCTGGGGCCAGAAGGGCGCGTACGCCGCGTTCATCTCCTTGAAGTCGGCCATGTCGGCGAGGGACACCTCGCACTCGACCACGTTCTCTATGGTGGTCCCGGCCGACTCCAGGAGCTCTTTGATGTTGGAGAGGGCCTGGCGGGTCTCGTTGCCCACGCCGCCTGGCGCCATCCTCATCGTGGCCATGTCGATGCCCGCCATGCCGCTGACGTAGACCATGCCCCCAGCCTTCGTCGCAAAAGAGAAGGGCACGGGCCCGGACTTCCAGTGCGCGGGGGCGGTAACCAAGACCGGGCGGAGCCCCGGGGTGGCGCCTGTACAGCGAATCTCGACCCTGCCGCTGCCCGCCAAGCCGCCCACCTGCACGGCGATGCGCGCGGGGAGGCCGCCCAGGCGGCCCGCCTTGGGGAAGGCGGCGACGTAGGCCTCGGTCATGGAGCTGAAGTTGGTGGGCTTGTTTCCACCGCCACCACCACAAGTAGTAGGAGGGGGAGGGGGTCCTCCTCCTCCTCCTCCTCCTCTTCTTCTTCCTCCTCCTCCTCCTCATCCTCCACCTCCTTCCCCACTCCAACTTCTGGTGGTGGTGGTGGTGGGGAACAGGCCCATCAGAAGTCCGCCATGTCCGCCAGCGACACCTCGCAGCCCAGCGCCAGGTCGAGGCCCGAGCCTGCCGCCTCCAGCGCCTCGCCCACGTTGGCCAGCGTCTGCGCGGTCTCCGCGGCAACGCCGCCGGGCACCGGACGGAAGGTGGACATGTTCAGCCCCTGCATGCCGCTGGCATAGACAGTGCCGTGCGCCCGGGTCACCATCGAGAGCGGCACCTTCCCGGCCATCGACGGCCAGCCGGGCACCGCCACCACCTCCTTCCCGCCGCGCAGCGAGGCGATGCACTTGATCTCCACGGAGCCGCCGGCGAGGCCCGCCTGCACCGCCACGCGGCTGGGGGGGCTCTTGGGGAAGAACTTCGCGTACGCCGCGTTCATCTCCCCGAAGTCCCTTTTCAGGTCTGCCAGCATCACGCCGCAAGACACCACGTCCTCCAGCGAGCCTCCCGCCGCCTGCATCAACTCGGACAGGCTGCTGAGGGCTTGCCGCGTCTCGTTGCCTACGCCCGCCGCCTTCTTCCCGGTCCGCATGTCCATGCCGCCGAGGCCGCTGACGTACACCATGTCTTCCGTCCTGATCGCGAAGAGTTCGTTCCACGCAAGACCCCACGGGTGACACAACCACGTCGCGAATCAAAAGGTCGCAGGGCAAACCAGGCACGCCAGACAAGCCGACCTGCAATAGCCAAACTCGTGCAAATGAGCCGTAGGCTGAACAACTAACGGACAGTGCATTAGCGACAGGAAGATGGGAGGCAGGGAGGAGAACGTCCCTGATCGCCGCACACAGGGTGAGAAGGCAAGAACAGGCATTCATTCTTGATCGTGATCGTGCTTCGGATGGACATCGTAACTGACAGCATCGGGTGAAGAGTGAGAGACTGGCAGTTGAGGCGAACGGCATCTGATATTTCAGGGAGGGGCCGTACACGGACATTATATTCGAACCCTGTGGCCCAAGATGCCCCCCCGACCCCCCGAAATTAATATTGATGGCGTGGCGACGGGGGAGGGCGTGAGTGGACAGAAATACTCGAACCCCAAAGCACCACCTTTACTGAGATCAACATTGATGTCGGGGGCGCGGGGGTGATTTAGAATCTCCCTCGGATGTGTGAGGGCTCGACTATATATTGTCCATCTACTGGAGGGGGGCCGTCCTGATCGCGAAGGAGAGGGGGAACCCCTTCAGCTCGGGCCAGCCCGGCACCCTGACGGGCTCGCGCACGACCGTGGCGGCGACGCCGAGGCAGCCGCAGCCCAGCGCGGCGACCGCGAGCCTCGCCAT